TTAATACGCTTAATTCATCAGAGAGGATAATAGCAGCAGCGTGATTAATTTTGCAACATGTTTCATGAATGCCTTTACTCTTCCCCATATGTTATTATTGCTGCTACTTCACATGAGTATTTACGATAAATATGGGGACAATCATAGTTTTCAAATTTTGCAGAGGAAGTAGCCTGAAATTATGTGTATATTTTTATCCAATTACTTTATGGCTATTAAAGAATTAAAGTGTATTTATAAATGAAACAATATAATAAATGCATAGACAAACTGTCCTCAAAAAACTCAGTTTAAATAAAACACAATTCCATATACATCTATACCTAGGCCTTAAATAAAAAGTAAGTAAACTTCTTTGTTCTCTTATTGCTGACCACACAAAATCAAAGCCTCAAAGCTACATGCCTAGATGTCAGTTGATTTTCGTATTTCTACTGCCTGCCATATAACAGCCATTAATAAATAGATGAAGTTCTATTCAATAAGTGATGAATGAATGGATGAATAAATGTTTATATTCTTGTCTGTTGCTATTAAAGTGCTATAAATTTAACTACCAAATAAATATTTGATTTTCAATAACTACTTTAGGTAAATATTTAACAAAATAGAATTTTGAGAGAACGTTTTATGGCGTGAACTAGATCATCAATTAAATAATGAGACTGAGTAAAGATGTAAACAAAGGTGAAATTTTTATTCCAGAGGGTATAATCATTTGCACATCTTTCGTGATGCATCTTGTAGTCCAAGGACCTGCATGTAGGTATATTTCCATACATGTGAAGAACAAGGATGCAAATAGGAAGAAAAGAGTAGACTTCTTTAGGGTATTGGTGTCCCTGTTTTCTACTTCTCTATTAAAATTCCTTAGCAAAGAAATGAACGAAGTGTTAAGGAATGAGGAGAGAGAAATAACCCTCAAGATTCCGGAGGATGATTTTTCTTTGATAAATTATGTTTGATTTCTGTGAGTAATTTAGTCTTTGCACATTATAAAATTATGACTATCATACAATTATATTAGAGTAACATGTTTTTCCTGGAATAAACTTATTATTTGAAAATGATCTAAATGAATTATATTTTAATTTTATCTGTTTATTTTACAGTGTTTGTTAAGTTTACTTGGAATAATTTTCGCATTCATGGTGACAATTGATATTTCTTCAGTGCATCAAAGGCTGTTTGTGTCAAATTCTTTTCATTATCCAATTTATTTTTTTATCTGTGTGGAGGATTTTCATTGGCTGATATACAAATTCATTAGGACCTCTGCAATAGTTCTACTTCTGTGACCACCAGCTGATGTTAAGTGAAATATTTGCTCTCAGACAGGTCATAGTAGCTATAAGGAAATGGGACTTGCTTAAAGGATATGTTTGTTTGGCTTGTACTTGTTTTGTATTCTATTTCAGACAACTAAAATTAGACTACACTTTATTAGGAAGTTATAATCATGAATAGGTTCTTAAAACTTGTATTTGGATATACAAAATCTTATTCTCTTGAATATTATTGCATGAATTATTGTATTTTCTAGCATATTGTACACAAACCCTTTGTGTATCTATCACTATCAAACTATCACTTTGTGTATAAATGAAATAATTATGAAATATGCTATTTTCGAAAGCTTCAAAGGGCAAAATCTTTTAACAATTAGACAAGTAATTAAAGGAAAATTGCTTTCCTCATTGCTTGGTGGTGTACTTGATAGAAATGCTATCTTTTCCAATGCTTTCTTGACCTTGAAAATTACTTACATTCTTTCATATGTAAATTATTTATTTACAATTTTGAAATGTGTGTTTAATCTGTAAGAATAGGTGTTGGTCATGGTAAGCCTTCAAATTCCTCCTAAATAAGATATTGCAAATAAAAAAAGGTAGAAAATGCCTTACCTTTGGCATTTATTGTACATGTTCATAATTATGAGCATGCATGTCATAAATAAATAGTCCATTCCATTTTATAGTTAAGGTTTTTAAATTTTCATCTAGTCAAATGAAAAATAATTAATAGAAAATGGCAAACTATTGTAATTTTTGTATTTTTCATGAATAATAGGCATTTGTTATAGTAGCTCAGTAATAAATTATTAAAAGAACCAAATTGTGTAATAATATCATATAATGGGTCAAAATTACTTATATAGTCACCAGTAGAAGGATCAAGTGTGTGGGTTCTTATTAATATACCATTAGCCTGGTCACACAATGAAAGAGAATGAAAAGGCAATTTTGAATGACATTTCGATCAACTTTGCAACTGTCAACCTCTATTATGTCCTTGGGGCTTTGTACTTTTTGGCTTGCAGACATCTGTGCTGCCTTGCGTGGAGGAGAATATTAAGAGTTCTAGTGGGTCTCCTGCTCTGATAAATGCTTTGGGTAGTCATTTTTCAGTATGAGCATGTAATAGTGCTTAAAGCTAAGCATATGACATTTCACTCCATCAGCACCCACTTGTGCATCATCTTCATCGACACCACCATTCCCCTGTACACACGTTCACACTCTATTTCCTCTTTGCTCATAAATCTTCTCTGTTGCAACTCTGAGAATATATTCCTTCTTCTTTTTTTTTCTGCACAGTCAAGTGAAACAGCTACCTTTAATTTCTCCAAGAACCCCCTCAAAACTTTGGCAAGAGTTGTAATGATGTCAAAAGAAATTTTCAGGCCATGATGACAAGAGCCAGTAGTTTCACACAGAAAGTAGTAAGCAGGTACAGCATTTGATGGGGGAAAAAGTGCCTAGAATATTTACAACTGCATAGTAAACAGTCAATAAACCTCCTATCTGACAGGATATTTAGGCTGAATTAACAACAAGAAAATCCGGACTCTAATCATTATTGGCCTGCTTATTCTCAGTGGTATTTAGTTTATTATGCACTTGCATGTTTTCATTTATTACTACCATATAGTATGTTCTGATAAAATTTTAAAGATTGAGATAAATTATATATTATATTATTATATTACATATTATATTATATATAATGTTATCTCCTGGTATTGAGGAAGCTTTTTAAGGGGTTTTGAAATCTAATAAATAAAAATTTTAAAAATAACCTCCTTTTATATTATATATGGCCATGGCTCTCAAATGTTACTGTGCATCAGAATCACCTGGGAATGCTTGTTAAAACACAGGTTACGGGAAGCCACCTCCTAAGTTCTGAGGATAGAGAATTTGACTTTCTAACAAGTTCCCAGGTGGTGCTTATGGTACTAGTCTAAGGACCACATTTTGAGAACTACTCATCCACACTGGTATATAGAAAAAAAGGGACACGAGACTCTCCCGGGTTTCTGCCAATCATAGCATCATATATAAGGATTAGGGGTGACCAGCTCAACTAAATGTTTCGAATTGAAAGATCTAGGAATAATTTTGCCCCTGTAGTTTTTAAAATGCTGAAGTAAACTTTTCATGATTATGTATTGAGCCAGTCATAGAATTATCTTACTTCACTTCCTTCCAAGATTCTATGAATCCATATGAATTTGGTATAATGGTCATAAATTTATTATGCATCTAACATGATCCCAGATTGCTGTTTGAATTCTCGTAGGTTTTCAAATGACTGTTCTTTTCTCTGAAACAGAAAATAATGTTAGAGTAATTTTTCCTAGTCTGTTTCTGGCTTTCCTAAGTGTAGCTAACCATGGACTCTAATAACAATAAATCACTTTAAAAAATATAAACTTGAAATAGATGTCATATTATACCATTTTACCACTTTTGTAAAGTGAGTTATTTCAATGTTTTTTTGATAAATATATGCATAAAATTTTGGGAAAATTAATTAATATATGTTTCTTTGTCATCAAATCACTTGATTCTAAATTATTCAACTTTCAACAAGTTATCCTCCTACTGGTAGATATTTTATGTTCTCAACTCATGAAGATGAAACAGTAGCTAAATGGAAATTAAATTTTTATTCTACAATGATATCTCTGTAAAATGAGATATAATGTAAACAATAAAGGACAAGCAAATGACATCATATTTCAATTTTAGAACACAGAAAAGGCATAACTTCTCAGTTTGCAATGAAAGTGATGTAATGTTAATATTATCTGGCTCTTATGAATGATGTGATAGAAATTTTAATGATAATTGTATCCATTGTATCCATAAATTTTAGAATGAAATTACATAACAGCTATTATAGAAAGGTATAAAATAGAATGTAAACTATGTAAACTTGACCTATTTAAACATAGAACAATTGGAAATCACCATACGTACTGACCAACCACATACAAATCTTCATACCACTATGTAATACATTGTAAGGAAGAGCTGGAAAACAAGTCTAGATTTAAAAAACATAATGTTAAGTGTTTAGAACAGTGTTGCATATAAATAAATAGTACATATTGGTATAACGGTAATTATGTTTATTTTCATTTTTAGATCAAATCCAAAAGTATTTTTGTGAGACCTGGGAGAAAAGATTATTTTCTAAGAAAGTTAGAAAGTTCTCCTCTTTTTTGTATTTAATTTGCAGAGCAGTTTTGATCAGAGATATACATCATTGAACTCCTCCGTCGTGGATGTTCTAGGCACTCTGCCTAAGCACCAGAGTACAAAGATGCATGTGACTCAACCCCTGTTCTTTGGAGATTGAAAAAAACCTATCTACATCATAATTTTATATGAACTATATATTCTCTCTCAATGAAAATGAATAGTACAATGAATAGCTTTTTAAGAATCTTTCTTACAGGTTACATCAGTTACATGCTTTCTGGATAGTTGAGTGCATGTGTACTTTCTCTCATACAAAAGGTTTTTCATAATATGTAGTTGAAAGTGACATTGTTGATAGCTAACCAAACACTGTAACGTTCAGACTGAATGTTAAGATCACTGACTGGTAGAGTAATAAGATGGGAAATGACAGGCTGTATACCTGTGTTTTTCTGGGTGTTTTTGATCAGCCTTTCCTTATCACAGCTCATGTTCTAATGATCATTGCAGGATGAAGTGGCACAGCCACTGAACCTATCAGCTAAACCCAAGACCTCTGATGGCAAATCACCCACATCACCCACCTCTCCCCATATGCCAGCTCTGAGAATAAACAGTGGGGCAGGCCCCCTCAAAGCCTCTGTCCCAGCAGCATTAGCTAGTCCTTCAGCCAGAGTTAGCACAATAGGTAAGTTCTGTTTCTTTTGTTCTTGCTGATTTTCTGTTTATGGCAATTGAATGAAATAATATTTTCATGGCAAATTTTGTATACCTTGTGCATGGCGTTAGTTCTATAGGAGAGTTTCAATTTGATGAATCTCATAGGTCTGTTTTAAATATGCAAATGAAGTTTATAACAGAAGTCCCAGTTATAATATCCCCCTGAAAATCTAATTTGAACTGGTTATGTTTATTGATGTAGCTAATGTTGTTAAGTTTACGAAATAAAGACACCTAAATGACTAATCACAGAGAGCAATTTTTCCAGAATGTCGTTGTTAGGTGACTTGCCTTTTTCATCACTGAAATTTATTTCCATTTTTTGTGATGTGTACAAAATGTACATAATGATGAAATACATTCTGCCTGGATCAGCAGTCAACCATCAGGATGTGAAGTTTGTTCAGTTCCATACTATTTGAGATTTACTTGAACACACCGATGTAGGATAAAGAGTGGGTAGCTTCAGTTCTCCATAACTGCCATTTCACTGCAGTAAACAAACACTAGAAAATGCTTCTATAAGCTAACTTTTAAAAGAAAAGTCCAATGGTTTTCATTTTAGTAACACATAAGTTAGATTGTAACTACTTACTTTAACCCATATTTATTGGTGTTTATTATTTGCATACAGTTAAGAGGAGGCCAGCACAGACTAGCCCTCAAGGAGCTCAGGGCTTAGTTGGGGAAAAGTCATCTATCCTATAGTACAAGTCACCTATTGTAAGTGCTCTTCCAGAGTACCACAGATACAATCCTACAATCAAACAGAGGAGAATGTTGGATTCTATTTGGGAAGATAAGTTGGAGGTAGGCTAATTCAAATGGAACCTCTAAGAAGACATACATTCCTAGGCATTTTAGGTTGTGAGAAAAACCCAGAGTGAAGGAGCATATTTTTGAGAAATGTGCTGGTTTGGCTAGACTATGAGTGTGTAGTGTAAAGTGATCAGAGCTAAAGCTGAAAGGGGCAGATGGAGTCCGATTGAATGCTATCTTAAGATATTTTGACTTTTTCTCCTGACAGCAATGTGATCAGAACTTTAAGAAGAGTATTGGCAGTGGAAAGAGATTGGAATCAGAGAAGTCATTGTTCTAGTGCAGGACAAGAGTAAGTTACATGAAATAGAAATAGGCAATGAAAAAGAAAAGGAAAGAATAGATCGAAGGGAGATTATTAAAGAATTGATGTAACTTATCTACAATAGCATGTACCTGATGAAGTTCAAGTTGGAGACAGAGGAGTCTAGGATTTTGAGTTTATAAGGTGAGAAGGGTAGTGCCTCCCTTAAGAGTGAAAGACAAGCCCAGAGTGGAAGCACGTTTGGGGAAAGACATATACATAAAGATTTAATAAGTGTTGAATTTGAAATGCGAGGAGCCAGTTAGGTAGAGATGCTCACGAGGAAACTGTAAATGTAAGTCTGATATATAAAAAGGGTGCTAGAATTTTAGATATGGAAATTATTTATTAAGGAGGCTGTTGAAGCCATGAGAGCATTTCTTCACTAAAAAAGTGTGCAGTAAGAAGAGAAGTGAGGTAAAGAATCATAGGTATTACCTACTGTATTCGTTATCTGTTACTGCTTAACAGACTAACTTAAAACTCAGCAGCTTTAAACAACGAACATTTATTATATCACAGTTTCTAAGGGTCAGGAATCTGCAAGCAGCTTAGCTGGGTGATTCTAGCTTAGGGTCTCTCTTATGGTTACAGTCAAGATGTTCACCGGGCTGCAGTCGTCTATAGACTTCACTGAGGATGGATGAGCTTTTCCCAAGAGACTCACTCACATCCCTGTTGGCCTGAGAGCTCAGTTCTTTGCCATGTGGGTCTTTCCATGGAGCTACTCATAGCATGGCAGCTAGCTTTCCCCAGAGTGAGTCATCGAAGAGGGAGAGCAAAGAGAAAGCCACGGTGCCTTTTGTGACCTGGTCTCCAAAGTCACATACAGTCCGATCTGCTTTATTCTTTCCATTATAAGAGAATCACTAAGTCAGCCTAACTCAGAGGAAGGGGAATTATGCTCCAACTCTGGAGAGAGGAATATCAAAGTATCTTTGGACGTATTTTAAAACCACTACACTTTTTTAGGGGAAAAACTGATGAAGAGCAAGTGAGTGTTTTAGAATAAAAATGAATATAAGACAGTGTCCCGCAGGCTTAGCAAAAGTGAAAGTTTCAGAAAGAAGGCGTTATTTAATGATGTCACATTCTGCAGAAAAGTTAAAAATCATGAAGAAGAAAAGCCTTAGGATTTTTCTGGAGATCATGGTTGGGTAGACGCTGACATAGAGGTTTTAGTAGAATGGTTGAGCAGAATTCCAGTGACAAAGATTTGAAGACTATGAGGGAAGAAAGGGCGGTTGATATAGAGACCAGTCTTTTTGTAAGCTCAGTGTCGAGAAGTGATTATATTTTGAGAAGGCTGAATAGAGATAAGTTTTAGAATAGGAAAATCATATATATAAAAAACATATACATATATAGTAAGGGGAAAGAAGAGTTGGAAAGATATAGAGATATGAAAGAGTGCCTGCATGATGATGGAGCAAGGAAAGGAGATAATGAGAGAATATTAGCCTTGGAAAGGAGAAAAGCTCCTTCGTCTTTCTGAGACTGAAGGAAATGAAGAAGAAAAGGGTGAAGTTACAGAAAAATTCTAAGATGGACAGAAAGGAAACTAAAGGAGTGTATTTCAAATGCTTCAATCTCCACAGAGTGGAATTTCAGATTGTTTACCAAGAGGAGGTCAGTCTGGGGCACAGTGAGAAGAGAAATAGTGAAAACTTAAGTTTGGAGAAGGTTTAGGGTACACATATGCTCTTTACCATCATGCACCATTCTGTTATGATCTCTCAGTTAACTTTGCTCAGCATCCAAAATGGATGTCAAGTAAGATTTGCTTTCATGCCCTAAATATGTAAGAGAAAAAATATTTTATTTGGCAAGAATGATTCACTTCCGTAATAGACCTGAAGGATCATAAATATCACAGTGTTGGTATATGAGCTTCCTTTATAATGTCACTAGACCTAGAGTATTTAACTAACAGAATAACTAATATATTTGCATTTTTATCACATGAGGATTTTTTACTCCAGCTTTCCAAGGATTAAGTATGACAAAATATTTTATAAAGGCAAGGCTGTATTTAATGACATTTATCATCTGACTTTCTCCACTACTAAAACTTCTTTTATATTTTTCCCTGAAAAGTTCCTTCACCACATACACATCCCTCATATTTTCCAAGGATTTTGAGGCCACTACAATTTACTTTTTTCTTTTCGACAAATGCAGATGTTGAAAGCTGAAACTGTAATGAGTAATGATGTAGTTGGATAAAAGCTATGAGCATTAATGGTGTTGTAAAGGTCACCCCTGAAAGAAGAATTAATGTGTTATGCCATTAATAAACCACAGAAAACTGAACCAAAAGATACGTTATCGTTAATGACATGGGGCTCTTTGCTATATATCTATTAGCTACAAATATATAAAGTGAGTTTTTGAGGTTGGTGACCAATATTACAGTGTATTCTATAAGAATTCTTTTGATATAGTACACAATGATAGGCAGCTCCAAAGAAAGGGGATCCTTAAAAGGCGTGAATAGTTCAGAAGAATGCTGGATAATTTTAGAATCTTTTGACCAGATGTTATCTTTCCCTTGTTGGCCTTTTCTGCCTATGTTGTGCATATGTTTAACACTTTTAACTTTTTTAAAAGCATTTTTGATCTATTTTCTCACCGCAGCTAATTTTAGAATTACAGACCCTTAACTAGATCGAACAAATATCGATATCATCTAGTCAAAACTTGTTATTTTACAGATAGGGAACCAAGGCCTGTAGAGGCTAAGTGCTTATCCAGGGATTCCAAGTTCTTGTCACAGTGTTGACAGTTCTGTGGTCCCATGTTTATTACCTCTGTTTTAATTTCAAGAAAGCAAATGTCCATGAAGACCTAGTAACTTGCCCAAACTCACAGCCAGTGCAGTTTGAGTCCTTTCTAGCGTGGTCTCTGGGTTGACATGTTTTCTTTTTAGTAGTTGCCTTTTGGTAGCCTCCCTGCATTAGGTGCTCTACTCAATCATTTATTGATCCTTTCACTCATCCATCTAATAAATGAGTATTCAATATCTTTTCTTTGCCATACACTTTGCTAAGTCTGGAGGATAAGCAGATGAAAGTCTTGGACTGAGGCTTTAGATGCCTACAGTCTTTGTTCTCTCCTGTCTTTGGAAGACATTGAAACATACCATTCTTACCCTTCATTCCTCAGAGGCATTAGCACATGAAAAGCAAAACTTTATCTGAGCATATGCGGTAGATGCACATTGATTAAATAAAATGAAGGGGATGCCGGCCCAGTGATGTAGCAATTAAGTTCACTCACTCTGCTTCGGCATCACAGGGTTCACAGGTTCAGATCCTGGGCACGGACCTAGCACTGCTCGTCAAGCCATGCTGTGGTGGCATCCCATATAAAGTGGAGGAGGATTGGCACAGATGTTAGCTCAGCAGCAATCTTCCTCAAGCAAAAAGAGGAAGATTGGCAACAGATGTTAGCTCAGGACAAGTCTTCCTCACCAAAAGTAAATAAATAATAAAACAGTGCTGTAGACTGAAAAAAAAATGAAATGGAAGGAAATATTTTCAAGTCCATTAATTTGGTACTTCCTTCTACAACTTGCTAATTTAAAATATAACATGAAGAAGGATATTACCTTGAAATTTTGTTAGTTTACATTTTTCATGAGAGAAACTTCTTTGAGGGTAGATTGTTGAACAAGAATATTGTAATAGTTTCATATAAAGCCATTGGATTACCTGGAAGTTAGGGGTATTATTCAGTATCTGACACTTAATATTTGCATAGCGCTTTATAGTTTATAAATTGCTTTCACATTTATTATCTAATTAATTCTTGTTAGCTTTCACAGATGAAGAAATGACTACATA